GGGGTGCGGGAAACGCCCCCCGGGCCTGGGGGGCCCGGGGGGGGGGGGGGAGGGAGCCCGCTCGGCGCCCCTCACCCGCCGCCTCACGCCCCTTTCCCTCGCGCGCCGCAGCCTGGGCGGGAGGGGAAAAAAAAGGCGCCAACCTGCAGCGCGCGTGCGCAGCCTCCACGTTCGCTGGAGGGGGCGCCAGTCTGCAGCGCGCATGCGCGGCCTCCACCACCTCCCGAGCGCTGCCGCGGACAAGTCGTCACCCGGGAGCTGGCTGCGGCGGCACGTGACTGCGTCTCCCAAGCCCAGAGCCACGTGCAAGCGCAGGTGCGAGGCGGGGCCTGGCTCTAAGCACGTGCCCCGGGCTTGGCCCCAGGGGCGGGGGGCGGACTCCTGTGCTCATCCCTCAGCACGTGCTTCATGCTTTGCAGAAGCGCGATTCGTGCGTGGGTGACAAGCCAGAAGTTACCTGCTCATAGCATCCTAGGGCTGGAAGAGAGCTCGGGAGGAGCCCAAAGCAAAAAAAAAAAAAAAAAAAAAAATCCTAATACTGGAAAAAAAATTTGTCCCAGGAGATTGCATGCGTCCTGTTCAAAAGGAGCGAGTCTCACTTTCCTCCAGAAAGATCATTTGTTTTCCCTAAGCAAATATGCCCGCTCTTTCTTGGAGTTATTTTTAACAAGTATTTGCATATCGTTATAGCTGCACTTTACATTTGCTGCAGGCAGATTGTTCTGTCACCTCCCAAAAGCCCTTTCTTCATGGGGCCAGGATTTTTTCTGGCGGTATTGTAGCTTAAGTATAAAAGGCAATAATATTGTCTTCGGCTATAATAAAATTATGCCTATAAATGACTTCTACAAAAGCAAATTATCAACATATTAAGGAATATAATTCGTGTTTTTGTCAGCAGCTTGTTTTGGTGTGTTTTTCATTTAAATAAATGAATATTTGAATAAAGCTACATTTCAGGGTATGCTAGCACAGTCAGTCTTAACACATCACCATGCCTACTTGTTCCATGAAAATCATCCTGCTTCACTGCACATTACATTTGTTTCCGGAGATCAGCTTTACAGAGAGGGACCATACTGTCTCCATAATGAAGTCAACATTTCTGATGTGCAAAGAAATGGTTTCTGCTTTTTCTGGCAACAATGCTGTGAAATAGTTTTTTTCTTCTTAACAATAGCATTGACTTGTCAATACAGCCTGGATGAATATGAACAGAAAAAAGGGTAACACATGTCTGGTTCTTGCCACTTGATAAAGAAGTCAAGGTTGACTGAGCAAAGGTCAGAGCTGAAATAATTTGCATGTATGGCGAGAGAAATGATACCAGATTGCATCTGTCAGGTCTTCCGAAAATGCCAGGTGTCAAACCGTCAACAAAACATAGTGACCATATCATTGGTACAAGTAATATTATTTAAAAGACCATCGAAAAAAGAACATGAGTCAATACTACTTCACAGGCTATAAAAGGAACAACTGTAGGTGAATAGGGCCCTTTTTTTCAAATTGTATTACTGACAAACCCAAATAAATAGTATAGATCCAAAACAGGCATGCCTTACTGAGACTAGGGATGTAATAGTGTAGATGATTAACCGATAAGCAAAAACGTATAGGTTAATGCTATAGACTACACACATTCTCTCCCCCACCCCTCCCAGTAAATTTTTTAGCAGGCTGGCCAGCAGCCCAGCTCAGTCCCGGCTTGCACCAAGTCCAGGACCTACCACTGCAGCAGCTCTTCATTTCAAGTATATTAGGAGCCAGCCGGGGACACAGCTTGGTTCTGTTCCAGTTTGCGCTGGGTCCAGGAGTTCAGACCCCCACACTGGACAGGGGCTGCTGCCACGCTGTCTCTGTATCTGTCCACAAGGGGAGCTGGTTTTTAAACTGGCTCCCCACGCAGACCAGCTCCCACCTGGCACCCCGCAGCAGCGCAGAGTGGCAGGAGGCTCCTCGGGAGTGGGGCCGGAGCACAGTGGCTGCTGGCCCTGCCCCTGGGGACTATAGAATAGTCGAGTAACCAATCAGAATTCATGAGGTTAATCGACTATTCAGTTGACCGATATTTAACATCCTTGACTCAGACAAGAAGTCCGATATGTATAATCTATAACTATATTTATACTATTATAAAAGGAGGTGTCCATCACGCCGTCTGTCACAAGAGAACATTTGAGAAGACTTGAGAAGTTTCAATGGGGAGGCAGGCCTCCAGTCCCACCTACAGCCCCTTCCCCTCCACTGAAGCCCTCCCCACCACCACAGCGTGGGGAGTAGGAGAAGTGCGCCAAACACATGCACACACACCCACCATGGGGAGGGGAAGAGCACGTGCACACACACCCCAAACACACACACACACCATAGGGAGTGGAAGAACACACGCCCCAGCATCCTTGGAGCGGTGGGGAGGGAGGAGTCTCTGCGGCTGGAGCCCCCCCAAGCCTCCCCACCCCCAGTAACAGCGAGGAGGGAGGAGGCCATGTGTCCGTCTACCATCACAATGGGATGGGTAATGCTAGTGATAATAAAAATTGACCCATAGCATCTGATCCAAAGCCCATTGCAATCAACTTAGGGTACGTCTACACTAGCCCCCTAGTTCGAACTAGGGAGGCTAATGAGGGCGACTGAAATTGCTAATGAAGCGCGGGATATTTAAACTCCTAGCTTTAAATTTTTTTTGAAATTGATCTAGAGTGCACTTGATTCCATAACAAAATATTTTCTATAGAAGCCACGGAGGTTGTTTCTGCACCCTGATTATATAGGTCCCATAAGCGCCGAAGAGAGCTCCAAACTAAAGCCACAACATTAAAGTCTCTCTGAAGTCACACAGTTAAGTGCTTTCCTTAATCAAGACACTATGCAGAATGTAGGGTTGCCAGGTGTCCATTTTTGATCCAGATAGTCAAGTATTTGAGCTTTCTGTTCGGGAAACAAATTGAGAAAATATCAATGAGAAAATATAAATGTCCGGTATTTTCTAAATAAGATACAATGTAGATTGTGATGTAATGTCAAGTGTGTCCGGTATTTTTGTTGAAACCATCTGGCAACCCTAACAGAATGTAGCATCTCACATTTTTCACAAATATGAATTCTCATTCAGACTAGCCCAGATCTGTTTCTAATAACATCATGCCACACAGAGAGCTGTAATGGGAATCAAACTCAGCCCGGATACTTACCCACAATGCAAAATATGAAATAACGCAATCCCTGATTTCCACAATGACGTAGGATACAAACTGTAAACCTCACAATAACATCCTGAATTTTGTACGCTCTTGATTGAAGGGTATACTCCAATTTGTTAGCCTGACACACCCACGAGAATCCTCAAAAGGAATGAGCCACAAAAAAAACTTCCATGTGAAGGCCTAAAGTATATATCCTTGGGAAATGTGTTTTATTTAAACTGCACTTAAATGCTTCCTTCCTGAAGTTAGAAGAATAATTTTGTGGGATTAGAGATGAGCCAGTTCCAATGCTCCTTTCCTCCCCTGAAATCCAAATACCAACAATTTGGGGGAAAGTCTATATCTAGTCCAAACTTCACAGCCAGCGTCTCAGTCCGAACCAGAAACACTCTCCAAAATTGGGAAAGTTCAGATCCCCAAATGCCCAGTTTTGTATTTCGGACCTGTCCATGTAGGACATACCAGAATCACAGATTTGTTTGCTACATTTAAATCCACTAATTGTTACTTCCCCAGGAGAGTGAAAAGAATATGATAGCTGGATCACATTGGGAATGGATGAAAAAAAAACCCCAGAAAAACGTATGACTACAAAAGGGTCCAGTTATTGTTACTGGGCCAAACCCTGACTTTTTTGTAGCTCAGTCAGATAGTCCCAGATCTTCAAAGGTGTGTAGGTACTCAGTGAGTGTTAGTCCCCTTTAAGGATATGGGCCTCATTCTTACTCAGGTAAAGATCCATTCATGTCTATAAGAATTTGCCTGGTAAGGATTTCAGCCTTTGGTCCATTGAGTTTTATATTTTCTTTGGTATTCTTCCGATGAGTCTTTCATGCTGTGGTATGCTGGATTCCCTCTCCCCCCACACACTAGTTTAAAGAGACCATGATTCAGTTCTGTATCTGGTATAAATCAGCCTGGCTCCAATGAAGTCTATGGAGCTACTGTAGTTTACACCAACTGAGAACTAAACCCAGGATTTTTAATCTCATTGTCCGGGATATCCAAATTATGGACAAATGCACTGTAGGATGCTTTGCTCTGTAGTAAAAATTCTCTGGCTCTTCATTTTCTTTGGTAGCCCTCACGACCCAATGCATGTCATATTTAACAACTGAATTAAAATTTATGTGTTTAGACTTAATTTGTATTGATTCAAATGCCACACTCTCGGGTTTCCACAGACATGGGAGAACGGAGTAGACCATTTTGTCCATTTATGATACGGATAAAAATTAAAAAAGAATCAATAAAATTCACTTCTAGGTCATAAAA